TGCAATTTACCCAAATAACAAACCTGCACATATACCCCCGAACCTGAAATGAAAGTTGGAAAGAACAGTAAATAAATAAAAATGGACTAAGACAGTCACACAGTCCTGGGAGTCACTGGATCTTTGTCCCATCCAGGATACAGAAATACTGTTAACATCCCAGATCTGCAGCTGAACACTAGGGAGGCCATTCTTTAGGAATAAGATTCATGACCTACTGCAGAGATCAGCCAACTATGGCCCTTTGACTCGCCAATTGTTTTTTAAATAACATTTTATTTGGAACACCAGCATGCCTATTTGCTTATATATTCTATGGCTGTTTACGTGCTACAATAGTAGAGTTGAATAGTTGCAACAGAGACAATATGGCCCGTAAGACTAAAATATTTACCATCAAGTCCTTTAAAAACAGTTTGCCAACTCCTGTGCTGGAGTAAGAACTACTCTTAGGCTTCCCTAGCAAAGCCTAAAGCCAAGATCCAACAGAATCAAAGAGAAATTCTAGTATATTGTTTGCCTGCCAGAATGTAACTTAACAATCTTCAAAAAAAGAAAATATGATTCAGACTCCTGACAATTTATTATCTACAATATTCACCAGATAATTTTAAAAGTACTAAATATTCAAAGAAGCAAGAAAACCTGACCCAAATCAGAAAAAAGCAGACAATATAAGCAAACAATATAAACAGACCCCAAGATGGCCCAAATGTTGTCAACAGCTAACAAAACTTTGAAATAGATATTAAAAATTTATTCATGAAGTTAAAGAGATTGACAAAATATGAAGAAGTCTAATATATGTTAAGTGGTATCTCCAAAGGATAACATACATAGTGTATGGGACAGGAAAAAAAATTGGAGAAAACATGGTCAAATATTTCCTGAGTTTGGTAAAAGACATCAATCTGCATATCCAAGAAGTTGAGCAAACTCCAAGCAGGATAAATACAAAGAAAGCCATATCCAGGCTCATCATAATCAAACTGCTAAGAACCAAATAAAAAGAGAAAATCCCAAAAGCAGTCAGAGGAAACTACATATTACACAGAGGTCCCTAACAGTATAAATGTTTGCTAATCTCTCATTGAAACAGCAGAGACCAGAAGGCAATAAAATGATGTCTTTTAAGTGATGAAAAAAATAAAAAGGTCATCCTATAATTGTCTCCCCAGTGAAAACATTCTTCAAAAATGCTTGTAAAATATGGGTGTCTTCAAGAGAACAACATTAAAAGAAATACTAAACACTTTAAGATTAAAGGAAGACAATACAAAATGGAAACTTGTATCCATAGGAAAAAGAGAAATGTACCAGAAGTTGTAAATACATGGGTATATTTACAAATATTAGGTTTTCTTCCTTTGATTTCATTTAAAGACAAATAACTCTTTAGAACAAAAATATCTATCTAGGGCTTGTAATGTACATACAAGTAAAATATGTGACAAAGGATAGAACTCTGGTAAAAGAAATTATTCAGCTCTCAGGTTCTTATATGTGTGATGTGTCATAAATGAAGTGCTACAACTCCAATTGTAAGTGGACTATGATAAAATGTTTTAAGATGTAATTCCTAAGCAACCACTAAAACGGTAATAAAATGTAAAGATAAAAACAAAGTAAATAAAATGGTTAAGTGAAAATAATTAATCACCACCACTCTCTCCCCGCCAACCTCCCCCCATCAAAGAAAGGAAAGCAAAAAGAGCACAGAAATAAACAACATACAGGACTAACAGGAGACAAGGTTATTTGATACATAACCAAATCAATAATTATGTTAATTGGAAATGAACTAAATATTCAAATTAGAATGTTTGTGAAATTGAATAGGAAAACAAGACCTAACTCTGCTATCTACAAAAGACTCATGTAGATACCTTATATTTTAAATAAAAATCGTTTGAGTAAACACTAACAACAAATACAATCAATATTTAGATTCTGTAGACTTTTTAAACAATGGGTTTATTTGGCTTGTGCTTTATAAATAGAGAACTACAGTGTGCTATCTAAGCAACTAGATGGAATTGTTTCAAAATATGAATATTAGGTGATTTCTGTGTTCAAAATTTTAATCAATATCTCTCTTATGAGAGCATATTACCCAGCATATTATTTTGCTTACATGTCTTATCTTCTTCCTAGATTAAAAACTCACTGAGAGTTCAAACACTGAATAAATATCTACCAAGCACCTGTCACTCAGTAAATATGTCAGGCATTGAAAACACAACTAGGAACAAGTTTCACAAGAAGCTTATAGACTAGTAACAGGAAAATTACAAGTAAGCAGACAGTTGTAAGAAGGAAGTCAATGATTACAGATATGATCAATATTTGACAGATAGAATTAATAAATGGGCAAATATTCTCAAATTACTAGTTTGCATTTCTATATTAAGTTCAACAATAGCCTAAACAATGCTGAGGCATTTCCACATGCTAGCAGTTAGCAGAAAAGAAAGCAAAATATCAAATGAGAACTAAAACCCCTTAATAGGGTTTGCCCTGAAAACGTGGCATTTCGTAAATCAACAAAGTCAAGGCACTCTACACTCTATTCCAGTAAAGCAAAACAATATCTTTTAAATACATTATGTGAATGATAATGTCTTTGTCATTCTTTAGCCTTAATTGTAAAGAAATGTAGTATCATGTTTTGTTCCATGAAGAGGAAAATAATCCATGCATAATTCCTTCCAATGAAAACAACTCAGTATGAGGTCTAGTCTCCCAAATATCTCTGTATTTCTCAATTTTATTTTCCTCTTTCCTTTTTTGAGGATTTGGCATTAAATCAAACTTGAGTCCTGATGCAGGTCTTACACAGTATTGCTACTGTTGCTACTTTGCTGGAGACAGGTCTCTAGCAAAAGCTTTAACGGACACTGGTTTACCATGTTATGGCTTTGTCAATGATGAAATTTCAAGAATTCAGTGTCACTTCTGGTAACGTTACCCAGAAAACCAATGTTATAGTCTAATAAAGACAGACAAAGGCAATCAAATAATTTGGAATTTGGAATCCACTTATCTAAGCACAGAGTCCTGAGTATTTCAAGGATGATATTTGGCTGACTTTTTTTTTTTTTTTTTGGACACGGAGTCTTGCTCTGTCACCAGGCTAGAGTGCAGTAGCATGATCTCAGCTCACTGCAACCTCCGCCTCCCAGGTTCAAGTGATTCTTCTGCCTCAGTCTCCTGAGTAGCTGGGAGTACAGGTGTGTGCCACCACACCCAGCTAATTTTTGCATTTTTAGTAGAGATGGGGTTTCACCATGTTGGCAAGGAGGGTCTTGATCTCTTGACCTCATGATCCACCCACTTCAGCCTCCCAACGTGCTGGGCTTACAGGCGTAAGTCACCATGCCTGGCCACTTGGTTGACTTTTAAGAATTCAACTAACCTTTGTCATCTTTCAGAAGAACTGTTTTTACCCATCTCAGTGAAAACATCCCATAAGTTCCCTTTATTACATTGTGCTGTAGTCATTGTCACTGACCCTTTTCCACCCTTCCATGCTGACCTGCCCTTATTTTGTTCAGCTCTTCAATCCTACATGTGACTCAAAAATGATGAATATCGACTAACCCTACTCAATCATGTTATTTTTTTTTTCTCTTTGAGAGGGATTGATTTTAAAAAGGATGCATGGCTCAATTCTTACTAACAAGATATAAGGAAAGTCCGAGGGAAACATTTCAGGGAAAGTTTTTGTTACTATAAAGAACTAGAAAGCAAAGGCTCCTTTCTGCACAGGATGAGGCCTGTGACCCTTGAAACTGCAAGACCCATCTTGCACATGCCAGGAAAGCTGGAAAAGGACAAAAATAATATGTTAAAAATGGGCCAGGTACAGTGGCTCACACCTGTAATCTCAGCACTTTGGGATCCCAAGGCTGGAGGATCATGAGGTCAGGAGTTCGAGACCAGCCAGTTCGAGATCAGCCTGGCCAACATGGTGAAACCCTGTCTCTAATAAAAATATAAAAAGTAGCCAGGTGTGGTGGTGTGCACCTGTAATTCCGGCTACTTGGGAGGCTGAGGCAGGAAAATCACTTCAACCCAGGAGGCGGAGGTTGCAGTGAGCCAAGATTGCACCACTGCACTTCAGCCTGGCTGACTGAAAAACTCCTTCCTGGGGAAAAAAATTATATATATATATATATATATATATATACACACATACATACACACACACACATACATACATACATATATATAATGTTTATATTTTATATTATATATACATGAATGACAAAGCAGTTACAAAAAACCCAAGTCCCTGAAAAATGTCTCTGAACCAAAGAATTAATCAAACCTACATTTCCCTATCAATAGGATATTTCATTGCATGACTTAATAAATCTTTCTTATTGAGACAGTCCCGTCACAATTTTTTTTCCCTGAACCTAAGGGGATCCTGATACAAGTCTCTGTTTTTGTCCATTTTTAGGATGATCACCCTGATTCAAAGATGAAGACCTGTGATGGGGAATAACATGTGGGAGAAAAGGGGACTTGAGTTACCATGGCAACTGAAATTCAGGGTAACATTACTCCCAAAAGATTCTGTCCGTTTGGAGAGAATTTACCAAGTTAGTATCTCACAAGTTATATTGTAACCCACAAGCTACCAGGCCAGAATGGGGCACAGGAGTTGAAGCCAGTAATTTCATTCCACTAAAAGTAAGTGGAGTGAACCTCTGGGAAAATTAATGAGATTTCACATTCATCTTTTTCAGCTTCAAGGAGCCAAAGTCTGCTTCCAAAATAAGCCTGCCATCACTGAAAGACAAGCTTTGCATGTTCTCACTTATTTGTGGGTGCCAAAAGTTAAAACAATTGAACTCATGAAGATAGAATGATGGCTACCAGAGGCTATTAATAATTATGTATACTTTAAAATAATGAAAAGAGTATCAATGGATTTTTTGTAACATAAAGAAATGATACATGCTTGAAGTGATGGATACCCCATTTACCCTGATGTGATTATTGTGCATTGCATGCCTGTATCAAAATATCTCACGTACCTCCTAAGTGTATACACTTACTGTATACCCACAAAAATTTACCAAAAAAGGAGTAAGCTGGATATTTGAGATCTAATTGCTTTGCTGGCCTTGATACATAATAATGGCAACTTTTAATCAATATCCTCCATCCTCAGTCAATATCACGTAAGCCACAAAGTAACAGAAGGATAAGACAAATAAATAATTCTGTAGTCATTTTTAATATGAACTCAAGTAAATTCATACTAACAAGCATTATGTAGTTGCCTATTGTATGACAGGGATGGTCTTGGATCCAATCATTCCTTTGATTGACATAGCATTAGGCCATAATTGCTGCCTTATGAATTATTGTCTGGAAGAGGAGAGAAAATAGGGATGTATCAAATAATCATAGCTGTAAAGCAAGCATGAGTATCTTAGGTCAGACTATGTACAGAAGTATAAATGTAACAATGAGTAAGTGATGGGTCATAAAATGTAGTTGGTCAAGGTAAGCTTTTTGGAGGATTTAGGCATTGAACTAAGTTGTGAACGAATTGGTGACTATGAATCAAAGAACTTAAGTTACTGACTTGGATAAGAAAATCATTTTGAGTCGGTGATTTAACACGAGTAAAGCTACCCAACAGAAGCATAAGACAAACAAGCAAACAAATACAAACCTGCAATATATCCAGAAAAGATTAAGGAGGACTTAAGTGCATAAAACAAAATTCGCCACATTTTGAACACTGAAATACGAATGCTGACATGGAACTAAGCAGCTAGTCTATGCTGAGTATACATATATATTAATCCATTAATTCTCAATACAAACATAGAAAAAATATATAGCCACAAGGGAATTAAGGGTCAACAAATTTGAGACCCTTACCTAATTGACACAGCTGATAGAATTCAAAATCCAATTTCTTTCTTTTTGATACTAAAATTCACATTTTCCAGAGTATCTCTGCTTGTCAAAAAATATAATTATGTCTCAAATGCCAGGAGAAAAAAAATCTGCATCAAAGATGCAAAAGAAATGTCTAGAAGTAGTACTTACTGGAGTGTGCTCACCCAGTTCACCTCCCCAGTTATGTCAAGTCTACACCAAGTGCTGCACTTGAGACATGTTCATATTTTCCCAGACATGACAAATGGCCAATGTAATACCATTTTGCAAAGCATTACCAGACCATTTCTTACATCTGTCCCTTATATTATTTCTCATGGCTTCCTAACATCTTAACATTTCCACATTTATTTATTCGCTTAGTTTTATAATCCAGAGGAAAAGTAGGCTCTCTAAACACCATCCTGGATTAGGCATCACATTAATCCTTTTAAACAATTTAAGAGAAAGATTTGATAAGGCATCGTGACTGGTAAAATAGATATATGAAAGAGCTCAGCCCAGTTTATCTGCAGTCTGCCTTCAGTGCATCTAACAAGGGTTTACCTGCCCAGACACTGTTGTGATAACCCAACTCTTCAAGCCATCATACAAAGTAAATTGGAGCAGAGGCGATTCCAAGGAGTTGAGTGTAAACTTAGGGTAAAGTTTGCACTAGAAGTCTCCCATTACAACTTTGTTTCCCTGGAATGAAGACACGGGGTGAAGGAAGTTAGGGTACAGAAGAGTGGAAATGTATTTGTGTGCCAAACTCTGTCCTTTAAATAAGTTTTTATTTCATTTTCATTTGAACCTTCTAATTTTGGGAATTATTACTCCCTTCTTATACATGAGAACAATAAGCATCAGAGAAATTCAATAATTTGTCCAAAGTCATCAGGTAAAACATAATTGAGGCTGGGTATGATGGCTCATGCCTTTAAGCCCAGGAATTTGGAAGGTCGAGGTGGGTAGATTGCTTGAGCCCAGAAGTTCAAGACCAGCCTGGGCAACATAGCAAGACACTGTTTCTATAAATAAAAAATTGCTTAAAATGTAACCTAATCAAACATCTGAGCTAACAAATCATCCAGGGAAGAACTTTTTTCTGAAGTTAATAGAATATATGGAATGTACCTTTTCATTTTGTCACATTTCCTCAAAGAGTAATAATACAAGTTAACCAAAGTAGTTTTTAAAACCTGAAACCCTATCACAATAACAGTGTTATCTTCAAATAGTTTTGTCTTCTTTAAGATCTACTATGTACTTGACTTGGTGCTGGAAACAGGATTCAAAATTCCCTGATGAGATCTAACCTGTCATTTTTATCTAAGCTGGTCAAACCCACAGCATGCATATGAAGGTTGAAACCAACAAAGAACCATAGAGTTCAGGTTTACAATGTGAAAAAAAAAAATCCTGGTATTTACATATCATTCACATCAAATGAATAAATGACATGAATTACCATCATTTTTCTTAGTTAACAGCTTAACCACCTGATTCTAGGGTTGCACCAATTTACCAAGGATAGACTTAAGAAAACCTATGCCAGAAAGCTACTGGTTTCAAATTCAGCTCCAGGAGCAATTAGGAAGAGAGCAAATAGAAGCATTTGGTTTTCAGGAAACAATTTCTGGTCTGTCCCATTTGCACACTCAAGAGGCAGCAAAACTGCATCTTATGGAGATCTGACTGGGGGGAAGAGGTGGCGAGAGGTGGGTGGAGAATCAGGAAAAAGGCAGTCTGGATATGAGACCCCCTGCAGTCAGTCAGATTCAATTGCTAAGTCTCAGGAAACCCTGAACTATTTCTCCTGGAAATTAAACTGAGATTTGAAACTAATGAGGGGCCAAAGTATAGAAGAGTGTTGGATAGCATATGCAGCTAATTATTTCATCCAGGGAGCCAAAGGGACCTTGGGACATTTCCATACAGCCTATAAACTAGAGAAATTAATCCTAATAGCTTAGAGGAAAAAATTAGATTCCCATCATAAAAGTGCAGATATTGAATTTGCTGATAATTTCACCTCACCTTCCTAGGACGTTACACTAAGGCCAGGTAGAAAATTTCATTCTCAATTAAGATCAGTCTGGCTCTTTAGTGAACATTTGGCTGGGAACAGGAGTGCTCTAACAGGGTGAGTCCTGGGCTGCTCTAATATCTAAGAATTCAGTGCTCTATGGGTACAACGTTATTTGCATAGGGGAATTCTTTCATAAGAAGGGGAAGGGAGTCAACACGTGTCATCAGCAATTGTTCTATCTAGTCATTCAGGTAACTAGGTGTAGGCATTCTGTATACAGACTCCTATCTTGCTACTTCAATAAAAGATAGGAAGAGACTTGGGGGTTGAAAGGCTAGAGATTGTTTTACATAGGGAAATCTACTTCTCTCTGAGGGAGTTTCAAATCAGGTACTAACTATAATACACATCATATCTCTCTGAAAAAAAATAATTATAGTTCGGTGTCATTTAATGACAGAGATCTATTATGAAAAATATTGCTCCTGAACTACAATCCTATACAATATATTACTGTGCTGAATGAAGTAGGCGACTGTAACACAATGGCCAATATTTATGTATGCAAACATATCAAAACCTAGAAAAGGAGCAGTAAAAATATGGTATAAAAGAGAAAAAGATGGCACTCCTGTATAAGGCACTTACCATGAGCAAAGCTTGCAGGACTGGAAGTTGCTGTGGGTTAGTGATGAGTGAATGTGAGGAACTCGGACATTACTGTACATGACTATATAGACTTTATAAACACTATAGGCTATGCTGAATTTATTTTTAAAAGCATTTTTCTTCCTTTGATAATAAGTTAACCTTATCTTACTATAACTTTTTACTTTCCAAACATTACAATTTTAAAAAACTATTTTGTAATAACGCTTAGATTAAAACACAAACACATTGAAGAGCTGTACAAATATATTTTGTTTATGTCCTTATTTTACATGTTTTTTTTCCATTTTGAAATTTTATTTTTTGCTTTTTATTTTTTTCCCATTTATTTATTTCATTGCATTTTAGGTTTTAGGGCACATGTGAAGAACATGCAAGATTGTTGCATAGGTACACACGTGGCAGTGTGATTTGCTGCCTTCCCCCCCATCACCTACATCTGGCACCTCTCTCCTTGCTATCTCCTCCCAACTCCCCACCCCCCACCATCCCTCCCCTATTTCCCCCCAACTGACCCCAGTGTCACTTTTGTTGAAAACTAAGACACAAACACACACATTAGCTTAAGCCTACACAAGATCAGGGTTATCAATATCACTGTCTTTCACCTCCACCTCTCATCCCACTGGAAGGTCTTCAGAAAAGGGGTAATAACATACATGGAGCTGTCATCTCCCATGATAGCAATGCTGCCTTATAGAACACCTCTTGCAGGACCTGACGCTGCTTTACAGTTCACTTTTTAAAAAAATATAAGTGGAAGGAGTACTCTCTAAATTAGTGATAAAAGCATAGTAAATACATAAACCAATAAGTCATTATCGCTATCAAGTATTATGTGCCATACATACTTGTACGTGCAAGACCTTATATTATTGGCAGTGCAGTAGGTTTCTTTACACCAGCATCTCTACAAACACATGAGGACTGACTCAACATCACCAGATAGGAATTTCAGCCCCATTATAATCTTGTGGGACCATTGTCATACATACAGTCTGCCATTGGACAAAATGCTGTTATATGGTGCATGACTGTAGCTTGTCCACTTGTCCCCAAATCAGGCTGATTCTTAGTATCACTGGTGGGACTTAAAGACAAAAATCAAACAGAAGTCCTGGGTTCCATCCCCAGATCCTGCTTCATTAAGCACAGGCTTTTAAAATTATTATTATTGAGACGGAGTCTCACTCTGTAGCCCAGGCTGGAATGCAATGGCAGGATCTCGGCTCACTGCAACCTCTGCCTCCCCGGTTTGAGCGATTCTCACATCTCAACCTTCAGAGTAGCTGGGACTACAGGTGGCGCACGACCACGCTGGCTAATTTTTTTTGTATTTTTAGTAGAGACAGGTTTTCATCACATTGGCTGGGCTGTTCTCAAACTTCTGACCTCAGGAGATCTGCCTGCCCTGGCCTCCCAAAGTGCTGGGATTACAGGCATGAGCCACCACCCTGGGCCAGTACAGGCATCTTTTAAGATCCTCTGGTCTCCTGACTACAAGAAAAAAACAAACAAGCCCATCCAAAAGCGGGTGAAGGATATGAACAGACACTTTTCAAAAGAAGACATATATGAAGCCAACAAACATATGAAAAAATGCTCATCATCACTGGTCATTAGAGAAATGCAAATCAAAACCACATTGAGATACCATCTCATGCCAGTCAGAATGGTGATCATTAAAAAATCTGGCAACAAGAGATGCTGGAGAGGATATGGAGAAATAAGATCACTTTTACACTGTTGGTGGGAGTGTAAATTAGTTCAACCATTGTGGAAGACAGTGTGGCGATTCCTGAAGGATCTAGAAATAGAAATTCCATTTGACCCAGCAATCTCATTACCGGATATATGCCCAAAGGACTATAAATCATTCTATTATAAAGACACATGCACAGGTATGTTCGTTGCAGCACTGTTTACAATAGCAAAGACCTGGAACCAACCCAAATAGACTTGACAAAGAAGTGTGGCACATATGACAAAGAAAATGTGGCACATATACACCATGGAATACTATGCAGCCAAAAAAATTATGAATTCATGTCCTTTGTAGGGACATGAATGAACCTGAAACCCATCATTCTCAGCAAACTGACACCAGAGCAGAAAATCAAACACTCCATGTTTCACTCATAGGCAGGTATTGAACAATAAGAACACTTGGACACAAAGAGGGGAGCATCACACACTGGGGTCTGTTGCGGGGGGCTACAGGAGGGATACTGGAGGGGAGGGTTGGGAAGGGATAACGTGGGGAGAAATGTCATGTATAAGTGATGGGAAATGGTGGCAGCAAACCACCTTGCCCTGAATGTACCTGTGCAAGAATCTTGCATGATCTGCACATGTACCTCAGAATCTAAAGTACAATTAAAAAAAAAAAAGATTCCCTGGTAATGCTGATGATCAGTCAGTTTTGTGAAATACTTACCTGATTTATAAAAACACCAAACATCTGGGAATATGGCAAACTTTGAAGGATTTTTACAAATCTCTTTCCAGATAACCATTAACAGGTAGAATAACCTAAATCTAGAGGAACAGAAAAAGGTAGATGACAATGCTATAAATACTTAACATAACTTTTTAAAAGTGATTTTGTATACCACATGTGACGATGGGGCAGTCAATATACACACACCTAGTACACAAAAGCGATCAACAATTACTAGCTACTGTTACCATCGTCATCAGTAGCATCATAGTGTATGGGCTATCCAGAGCAAGGGTGAGCCAACGTTTTATGTAAAGAGATGAATAGTAACTATTTTCATTTTTGTGGGCTTATAGTCACTGACATGATGATCCAACTCTGCAATCATGGTGCAAATGCAGCCATAGACAGTTCATAAATGAATGACTGTGGCTGGGTTCCAATAAAACTTTATTTATGGAAACTGCCATTTGAATTTCATTTAATTTTTATATGCCATAACATATTTTGGTATTTTTCCTCCCACCATTTAAAAATGTAAAAACTATTCTTAGCTCGTGGCCATACAGAAACAAGTTGTGGGCCTAATTTGACCCACAGACTTTAGTTTGCCAGCTGGTGGTCTAGAGTCTAGGTTGTTATTCATGGAACAGTCTGCAAAGAAGTTATTGAATTTGGGTGTGTGGGGTGATCCAATAATCACCCAGTGATAAGTTCCATCATAGCCAAGAGTGGACATTTCCTCTATGTCAGAGGAAGGCATAGAAAGTTTTACAAAAATTTTAGACATAAAAATTCATATTTTTACTGAACCATGGTACTCTTTTGACATTATCTAAATTCTAACTGCTAGTCACAAGGTCAGTGTCGGTGAGTGGCTGGTCCCCCATGATGCCATGAGCATGGTGCACCTGCCATTAAAAAAGAAATCCTTGCCATCTTTAAGGGTTTTCACATCCCCAGCTGCAAAGAACATCTGATTTTCAGCATAATGTAAATCCCAGCTTTGCCTGCCAGTAAATTCATGTACATCATGTTAACATCAGGTTTATATTAAACATTTACATTAAGGATTGGAGTGGAAGATTAAATTGTTTGCATGCGTTGCAGCCACAGAGGGAATGGCCTCATTATCCTCCCTGCCTATGGTGCTGAGTGCCAGCAGAATAATGATCAGACAGTTACCCATCAGAAAGGCAGGCGAGCCACTAATGCACAATCCTTGTTAAAGCTGGGCAGCCTCTGTCTACTCTGCCCGTGCCCTTAGCAACTATCAGGCAAGCTATGAGCTATACTACCATCCCCCGCCAAGTGAGGTTTAATTTATGACACCAAGGATAATGATTTCACTCCAACTCAATACTCAGAATTACTGTCTTTTCCCCTGAACTAGAATTTTTCTACCCACAAAATGTGCTTTTTTGTTATTTTGATTCAAATCAGTCATGATGCTGGATGTTGTGGGGTTGAAAATATTTGGTTGTGCAACTTGAATATTCTGCAAGAGATTATACGGGGGATAGACCAAAGGTGGTTCTAAATCCAGTCTCTAAGGAGCACTGCTGTCCTTTCCCTCTGAAATTCAGATCCAGAGAGAGAGGACTCTAAAAGGAACTCAGATCTGCAGGTTTCCCTGGCCAGTTCTCCCTGCCATGAATATCAAGAGTTGCCCAGGACACTTTAACGGGCAAATGGTCTGCAGAACAAATGTTTTTGTGGGGCGAAAAAAAACCCAGCAATCATGGATGCCAAGGCAAGTGGCTGGAGAAGAGTGATGTTGTTAAAGTGTATGATTCATTAAGTCTTGTCTGAGGGTCAGATGTTCAGCATTTGGTGCTATTGCCTCCAATTTAAATCATTTTTTAAAGAAGTGCCGAAAAAGGTGCTGAAAGGCACCTCACTCTGTTCCCGCACTTGAAAAACACTGTCTGCTTGTGCACTGTGGTAAAACTTTGCATTTTGGCTAGACACCCTGTGTGGAGCTGTGCTGAAGCTGGAGAGGATTTTTTGTTTTTTTTTTTTTTAAAGTTTGTACAGTCACCAAAAGGCAGGAAGAGAAAATAGTGTTTCCCAAAGTCAAAGATCCCTCCTGATGGCATCTGTGAAATAAAAAGAGAAAGCACTGCAATGGTGAGCCTTCCTCTGCAGTGGGAAGCTCCATCACACACTTCCACGTAGTGACTGCCTGCAGGCAAAAGCCGAAGGCATGTGCTTTTCTGCTGGGAGTCCTTGTCTCCTAGAATTCTTTTCAGAACCCGCGGATTGTCAAGAGCTGCTGATCATGGTTTATCATCACCAATTACAAGTAAGGCTAGCGCTGATATCTCACCTTGGATTGTTGTCAGTACCCAATGACCTCATGGAAACTAAATGTGTGGTTCCTCCAGACCACCTAAACGCCTCTAGGGGAGTAGCCACTGATTCCTCCTCTTGCAAAAAGGGGTGACCCATGTGCTAAGAATGGGCCTTGCGAACATGATGCTAAATGAAATAAGTCACAAAAGGAGAAATACTATATGATTCCACTTATATGAGGTACTGAGAATAGACAAATCTATAGAGATAGAAAGTAGAGTCATGGCTGCCAGGGGCTAAGGGAAGAGGAATAGGTAATTAACATTCAATGGGTACAGAGTATCAGTTTTGCAAGATGGAAAGAGTTCTAGAGAGGGAAGGTGGTAACGGTTACACAACAATGTGAATATGCTTAATGCCACGGAATTCTACACTTAAAAATTGTTAAGATGATAAATTTATGGTGTGTGTATTTTACCACAGTTAAAAAAAAAAAAAAAAAAAAAAAAAGATGGTGCAGGTCAGAAAGTGGTCAGGAAAGTCCCAGTTAAGACTCCAAGGACTTCCCCAGGTTAGTGTGATTTGGCATCCATGAATAAAATGTGGCTTTCTGGATATTAATCTGAGATCTGGGCCTCCATATTCTCCAGCACTTTATGACACACATGTTATGAATTTCATTAGAAGTGCAATTCCTGCTGATAGAAACTTCCCCAGCTCCTCAGGCTCTTGCTGAGCCAGGCCTTTAGCAGTAGCTATAAGATGCTTAAGACTTAGCTAAAAAGTGAAGGTGATAGTGTTTCCTCCAATTCAAAGAGAACACAGCAGGTGGTAGGCCAGCGCTGGAGTTTGGTTGGGGAGAGGAGTGTATTCGTCCATTTTCACATTGCTAGGAAGAAATACCCAAGACTGGGTAATTTATAAAGGAAACAGATTTAACTGACTCGCAGTTCTGCATGGCTGGGGAGGCCTCAGGAAACTTATAATCATGGCAGAAAGAGAAGCAAACACATCCTTCTTCACCTGGCAGTGCCAAGGAGAAGTGTAGAGTGAAGAAGGAGAAAAGCCTCTTATAAAACCATCAGATCTCATGCGAACTCACTCACTATCATGAGAACAGCCCCCATAGTCCAGTCACCTCCCACTGGGTCCCTCCCACAACACTTGGGGATTATGGGAACTACAATTCAAAATGAGATTTGGGCGGGGACATAGTCAAACCCTATCAAGTAGGTAGACACAAGCAGGTAAAAGCCACCAAGGCCATTTGAAATATAATTGCACCAAGGACATAAACACACTCTTTTCAAAAGAAGGCATACATGTGGCCAACAATCATATGAAAAAAAAAGGTCATCACTGATCATTAGAGAAATGAAAATCAAAACCACCATGGGATACCATCTGATACCAGTCTGAATGAGTATTATTACAAAGTCAAAAAATAACAGATGCTGGCGAGGTTATGGAAGAAAAGGAATGCTTATCCACTGCTGGTAGGAGTGTAAATTAGTTCAGCCATTGTGGAAGACAGTGTGGTGATTCCTCAAAGATGTAAAGACAAAAATACCATTTGACCCAGCAATCCCATTACTAGGTATGTGTGTATAGATAGATATAGATATAGATATAAATATAGCTATATATCTAGGTATGTGTGTATAGATAGATAGATATGGAGATAGAGATATGCATAAAGAGAGAGAGAGAAATAGTAATGATGCATAATTTAACAATGCATAGACTTCCAAATATTTTCATAAGTATGAATCACACAGTCCTCACATCAAACAAGTGAATACGAATCATTCCATTCTAAAGACACATGTACATGTATGTTCATTGCACCACTATTCACAATAGCAAAGACATGGAATCAACCTAAATGCCTGCCAAAGATAGGCTAGGTACAGAAACTAGTATATATACACAACAGAATACTGCACAGCCATACAAACGAATGAGATCATGCCCTTTGCAGGGACATGGACAGAGCTGGAGATTGTTATCCTTAGCAAACTAACACAGGAATAGAAAACCAAATACTGCACGTTCTCACATATGAATGTGAGCTAAATGATGAGAACACACTGACACAGAGAAGACCACCACACACTGGGCCTTTTGGAGGGTGGAGAGTGGGAGGAGGGAGAGGATCCAGAAAAATAACCAATGGATACAAGGCTTAATACCTGGGTGGTAAAATAATTTGCACAACAAACCCCCATGACACAAATTTATCCATGAAATAAACCTGCACTTGTACTCTTGAACTTAAAAGTTTAAAAATATATATCATTGTATCAAGAAATAGTAATGATGCATAACTTAACAATGCATAGACTTCCAAATATTTTCACAAATATGAATCACACAGTCCTCACATCAAACCTGTAATTAATGACCACCATTGAGGTCCTGTGATGTTCTAAGTATCATGTTCACACATTGCATTATTTGATCTTCCATCTAGATTAAGAGGCTCAGAGAAGCCAAGGCCATTTAACCAGCAAGGGAAAGAGATCCCATTCTAAGACAGGGTTGTTCAGTAGTGATGATGGTGGTCATTTTTGTGGGGTTTTTGTTTTTTGTATTTCTTTTGTAAGCTCCAAATCCTGTACTTTGCCTTTTTCCAAAACACAGGAGTCAAAAAGGAAAGAAAGGGGAATGAAATCCTAGACGTCTCTAGATGACATGGATTTTAGGCTTTCAAATAAGCTAGAATAGCATCCCATTCATTCCCATCTCCCCAAGGCTTTGGGAAGCATCCTTTTAGATAAGGAATCAAAATCAAGTC